GTTACGTTGCAAACCTTAAAAAAAATGTAACCCAAAGCACGTCCTAAGTTAATCCCTTTCATTTGGCATCTCATTTAAAAATCGAGAGAACGGTGTAAATCTGGTGCTCTGCAAATAAAAAAAATGACTAGAGCAGGTGGCAATCCTTTTCAAAAAAATTAAGACATTTTCCCTTGCAGATCTATAGACCAAGCACTTTTATATGCGCGAACGGTGTAAGTCTTATGATTTTTTAAGCAAGTGGCAACCCTATTCAAAGAAATGAAACAGTCTTGCACATCTAGGGGCCCAGTCTTAAGGGGGGATACCGTATGCAAAATACGACGCACCCAGAAAGGCGATCTTCTTATCGAACTCGCGAAATCATGCCCAAAGTCGGCGGAATTAAAGGCCCTTGTGAGTGCTACCCTAGGGGACGATGCTTCGGTAAAGACATTTACTCACCGAATCCTGGTAGAATGTAAAGACATCGATGAGGTTACAACCAAAGAAGAGGTATACAATGCTATTAAATCATTGCCTGGTCTTGAAGGTATGGAGAGTTCAGGTATAACTGGTCTGCGCCCTGCTTATGCTGGCACTCAAACAGCTACTATTAGCTTACCTGCTCCAAAAGCAAAGAAACTTATACAGCTTGGGCAAGTAAAGGTAGGATGGGTTAACTGTCGCATCCGCGAAAGGGTCCAGCTGAAAAAATGCTTTAAATGCCTTCAGTATGGCCACATGTCCCGTAACTGCGGTAGCACATTTGACCGGTCGAATCAGTGCAGAAAGTGTGGCACTGAGGGGCACTTCGCTAAAGATTGTAAAAAAAATCCACAGTGTATTCTGTGTAGAGCGGAAAAGAGAGAGAACATAGACCATATTACAGGCAGTTATAGATGCCCAGTTTTTAAGAAAGCTCTTATAAACAGGAAAAAATGAGAATAGTCCAAATAAACCTCAATCACTGTGAAGCAGCACAAGATCTACTATCACAAACAGTAAGGGATCTTCAGGCAGACATGGCGATTATAAGCGAACCTTATACATAGGTGTAAAGATGACTGTGCGTGGGTTTGCGATAGTAAACAGGGTGCAGTTATATGGCTCTGTGGTGGACTCGCATTTCAAGGAAAGCACAGCATGGGTGAATGCTTCGTTCGAGCTGAGGTAAACGGAATTAGCATTTTTAGTTGTTGTGCAAGACCTAGCCTTACAAAAGAAGAGTATACCCTTATGCTGCGTAGCATTGCTGAAGAAGCAAACGGGAAATCCCTGCTAATTATCGCCGGTGACTTCAATGCGTGGGCAACAGATTGGGGTAGCAGACTAACAAATAAAAGAGGCGAGCTGCTGCTTGGAACTTTTGCCCAACTCGGCATATCAAAAGTAAACAGCGGGTCCACATACACCTTCCGCAAAATGGGAACTGGGTCAATTATTGACATAACGCTGGCGAGTGACACCTTGGCCCAAAAAGTAATTGGAGAGTTAGTGAGGAGTATACCCACAGTGACCACCAGGCAATAATAATGGATATAACTCTGAGGCGACCCAAACAGATGCCAAATCTGACAGGCCCAAAATGGAAAGACAGTATGTTGATGGAAGAGTTCCAACACAAAGCTGGCTCGGTAGAGAGCGAGGTTGCCCACCTGGTTCGTAACCTCGCATGCGCCTGTGATGCTGCTATGCCTCGAAGAGTGGTGAGGAAACAAAATTCCCCATGCTATTTGTGGAATAACGATATAAAAANAACAAGCTAGAACCGGTTAAATAACGTAGCGAGCCTGCTAGTCAATCAGCCCCGAGAGGTAATACCTTAAATGGCAGTGCCGCGGGGAGAGTGGTTAGTGGAGAGGTTTTAGTACGCAGGTGTAGCTGTGAGGCTGCAAGTCGTGCATACTANATACTTAGACGTCAGTGTCTGAGTGCTAGACGCAGAATGCAGCGTAGCTGAGGGAGGCCAGATTTCAACGAAAACCTACAATCTCTAAGAACGGCGAGGAAGAGCTTAAAAAACGCCATAAAAGTAAGAAAACGTGAAAGCTTTAAGAAAATATGCGAAGAATCGGATGTAAACCCGTGGGACACGGCCTATAGAGTAGTAATGGCAAAAACTAAGGGCAAGAAAGCACCGAGTATCACGTGCCCAGAAAGGCTGCGNTCGTGCATACTACTATTCCGGTATAGTAGTACTCATGAGAGTTCCCTCTTCACGGGCGTCATCAAAGAAAAAAAAAAGTCCTCTCATCTGACACCTCATTTTTTTTAATACAAAGAACCGTGCAGGTTTTATAATTATAAAAGCGTGGCAACCCTTTTCAAAAAAGTCAAACCTTGTTGTACATTTAGAGGCCAAAACCTTTAATTTTGAACCTCAGTTTTGAANAAAACGTGAAAGCTTTAAGAAAATATGCGAAGAATCGGATGTAAACCCGTGGGACACGGCCTATAGAGTAGTAATGGCAAAAACTAAGGGCAAGAAAGCACCGAGTATCACGTGCCCAGAAAGGCTGCGTGATATAATAACGACTCTATTTCCACAAAGGGAAGAAGTNTATACGATTTTGTAGATTTTTGAGTTTTTGAATGACTAATTTTAGTTCGATTTCACAGATCGAATATAATCGGATAAATGGTATATAATAATCTATTGTTGGACTTGGCTTGTTGAGATCTTTTATCGTGTAAAAANTCCCAGACGTAAAAGCCCCTGGGCCAGACGGAATATCCAACAAGGCTTTAAAAGCTGCAATTAAAATGAGGCCAGATTTATTTGTAAATGTGTTTCAGACTTGTCTTCATGAGGGCATTTTCCCGAAAAGATGGAAGGTCCAAAACCTAGTCCTAATACCAAAGGGAAATAAGCAATCTGGGGAACCCGCGTCCTATCGGCCCATATGCCTATTGGACACACTNTGTAAAAAAAAGCATATTTCTCTTAATTTTTTAAATTTTGACCATCGATAATTTCCATAATTTCAAAATATGTAGTACTGTCTAAAATTAAATCTATTTTTAAATAAACTGATAGNTAAGGGAAAAGGTGGCATGGAGGCAAAAATGAATACTGTGCTGTTATAACGCTAGATGTGAAAAACGCATTTAACACTGCGAGCTGGCAGCACATAATGGAAACCCTAATCAAAATGGAGGCCCCGAATTACATTATCAGAATAATTAGGTGCTATCTCTCCGAACGGGAACTAAAGTACCGGAGCGACAGAGGAATAGANGTAGCTCACTTATTGCGAACTCAAAAAAATGTCGAAGTTAGGCGACTTTTCTTAAATACAGTCTTGAATTTATATTGTGTATGTACCGGACTTTCAGATTTTTTGCGCAGTGTGGCTAAGGAATTCATCAATATTTATTCAAAATTGATATATATAAATATATAAATATATATATATATATATAAATAGTATAGTTTCGTCCGATTTCAAAAATGTTCAAGGCAGAACTTAAGGAGGCTAAGAACAATTTGTATACCAAATTTGGTCGAGATCGGTCAATAAGTTTTTGAGATACAAATATATCATATAAGTGGGTGGTGCCACTTCCATTTTCCTAAAATTTTTGATAAAACCGCTTTTTTGCTAAAGAGCAATTGTAGATATAAATTTTGAATTATTTTACCCGATAAAAAATCCCATAAAACCAAGTCGGACAATAGATTATTATATACCATTGTAAAGGCCTATATATCATAATCTCAGATTATATTCGATCTTTGAAATCAAATCAAAAATTGTCATTCAAAAACTCATAAATATACAAAATCGTATTTTATGATCTAAATCAATATATGCAATAATATTTCTCATAAAATCGAATAAAATTAGGGGTAGGGTCTTGAAATTTCGAAAAAAAAGCATTTTCGAAGGGCATCCTAATACATATGTATATTGGACTGCATCAACAAAAAAAAAGTTGCGGGTTTTCCGCAAGGATTACAAAACCGATTATATTCTAAGATGTCCACCAAAATATTTCGGAAAAATATTAAGCTTTAAGCGAGCTGGACCGATTTGAAAATACCTCCAAAAATGGAGTTTTTTATGAATAAAATTAATTTTTTAAAGAACTTTTTGAAAAAAGTCTCCTCAGATGACAAAACAGATTAGTCTTAAAAAAACTGTATTTAAAGATATTTTCAGCGGAATCGTAATAATGAAATCTTTGATGCTGTTTTTTTATTTTTTTTCAAAGATTGATTTACGAAAAACTTAAATAACTGGGCCAAAACTATTCTGTTTTAGACTTATTGGATCTTCGTAGAAAGGTATTTTCCCAATATTTTTATTTACTCGGAAAAAAAGTCATTCGTGTCCCAAATTTTGTTTTTTCAAATACCAACCCATCTAAACTAAACTTTGAGTGATGTTCGTTCATCCTACCGTTCTCTTTCATCCTTTGAATGAGCTTATTAGCACAGAAATAGAAAGGGTGAGAAAATACCTTTCCAATGATACCTCACAAGTCTAAATCGGAAGAGCTTAGGTTCAGTTATTCAAGGTTTTCTTATACCAATCTTTGAAAAAAGTTAAAAAACAGCATCAAAAATTTCGTTATTACGATTCCGTTCAACATTTTTTTATATTTTTTTTTAATATTTCTATGTAAATTTTTTAAGCTTAAATCGTTTTGTCATTTGAGGAGATTTTTCAAAAAAACATCTTTAAGAAACTATTTATATTCATAAAAAGCTCCATTTTTGGAGGTGATGAAGTCTAATGTACATATGTATATTGGAGTGGTTCATAAAAACACTCTTCTTGGAAATTCATAAACGCTACATCAGAATATTGTTATTTTTGAATTTTGAAAATCTGACAAAAGATTCGTAATCAGCAACCCCAGAAACCCACCGGAAACGAGTTTCAACCCTTGACAATGCTTAAAACGTTCAGCATCAACGTTTTAATTTTAGTAATTTTTTTTTTATTTGATCGCCATAGGCTGTCATTACCAACGGGAACGAAAGTAAATGAAACAGATGTATAATATTTCACTAATTGTTATTCGAAACGTTTTGCATAAATAATTGTGATAGCAAAAACAATAAGTAAAAGCTTATTTGCCAGAAGTGAAGTGGTGCAGTTGCGACATCAAATAAGGTGTATTCTAGCAAACAAACCTCCAGGCTGAATTGTCGCTGCAACTACGGAAGCTGTGTTAGCAAGCAAGCAATAGCAAGCTTGGCTGCTATTTGCTGGTACATAGAAATCAAAGAACACAATTAGCAGCAGAATTGCATTGGACACCTCCGCAAAAGAGCACTTGAGACGCCAAATCCATAGTACAGGATTAACCTCCATAGCTGCTCTTTGTTTTTAATTTTTGTTCTTCTATCCTATGCCAGACTATTTGCACTTGATTCCCCTATGCAAATCATCTGACGTAAACAACTGGAACTGAAACAGCTGATCGGCTGAAACAGCTGCCACCACTTCTGTATTTATAGCTAGCCTACAGTAGCAATTTCTCATAGCAGAAAGTTTTGTATTTTTTATTAAAAAGTTATTTACTATAATTAGTGTATATTATTGCCATATGTTGAGTGTGGGCNTCTGTTAAATTGCTTGAATTAGATGATATAATAACACGCTCTGGTGGGTGGGACTATAATTTTTGTTTAAAATGCAGCAACATCAAACGAAACGAAATTAAAATTATATCTGAAAACATTAATTTGCACGTTATCAGATACAAACACAAAATTTATTGAGATTAAGCACTTGATTAATAAATGTGAACAATCGAAGCTGAAGACTTCAGATGTGAAGCTGATTGTTGAGCAGTTAATCAGCAACAAATATTCTCAAATAAAAACAAGCATTGTTTCTGATTTTAACACGTTCTTNTCAGGAACAAATGTTCTCAAATAAAAACAAGCATTGTTTCTGATTTTAACACGTTCTTCGAACATAACATTGGAGTTAAAATTAATGCTATGAAAAATGATATTATAAATGAGATATCTAGTGAATTCAAAAAATGTGGTGAAAACGTACAAAATATGCGGCCAAATGATAGTAATAGTGATGTGCAAATATCTTATGCACAGGCAGCCAACATAAATGAAAATAAAACTGTCATCAAACCAATAAACAAAAACAAAAAAGTAAAGGAAACCAAGGAAGCACTAAAAAAAGTAATTGAACCTACCGCTGGCCTTGTTAAGACTGTAAAAGAAATTAATAGAGGAGGTATAATTCTGGAGTGCAAAAATAAAGACACATGTGAGCAAGTGCATCAAAAATTAAAGGAAACTATAGCAACTGAATACGAAGCTGAAAGAACTAATGGAAAAAATGAAATAAGCAAGATTTTAAAAGTAGTTGGGCTAACTGAAAAATTAGGTAACGACCGCATTATTGAATGTTTAACGAAGCAAAATGATGAAGGTTATGGAAAGAGTTTAAAATATTAAAAGTCTACGAAAATGGAACACGTAGAGAAGAAAGTTTTAATATTCTAGTAGAAACAGACGTATTAACCTGTGAAAATGTTCTTAAGCGAAAAAGGTTAAACATTGAATGGGACACTTGCATGGTATTCGAACATATTAATGTTATGAGATGTTTTAAATGCCTGGGTTACAAGCATAAATCGAGCGAATGCAATGAAACAAGCATGTAGTAAATGCGCGGGTAACCATGATGTGAAGGATTGCAATTCTGAGATCATACGGTGCGTAAACTGCTGTGAACTGGTACAGAAAAAGGTGATTGACGGAAGTGTCAACCATTATGCATTTAGCTTGGACTGTCCAGCATTTAAAAAATATGCCCATGCAAAAAATAAAACCAGAGTCTAGCAACGAACGTTAGATGAACTGAGTAGTATTTATTTAAATATAAACAGTATTACAGCAAATAAGGGTGAATTGGAAAGAGTAATCTAAACTTGTGTGCCACATCTAATATTGCTGTCAGAGACTTGTGTAACTGAAGATATAGCAAACCAAGAATTACAAATAGATACATACAATATTGTTAGATGCAATTCGCATAGCAGACATACAGGCGGGGTTTTAATATACCTAAGCAATTATATTAAATATAAAACAAAAATTAATTACTCACGTGATAAAAATATTTGGTTTTTACTTTTATCAGTTAATTCACCAAACTCTAGTGATGCGGATTTTATTCCTTATCTTAGCGAATTTATGAATAGCAACTACTCAGATGAGAACACTGTAATTATTTGGGATTTCAATACTAATCTATTTAAAACAACAACCTACAGCAAACAGCTACTAGAGTTATTTCAGTATTTTTCAAGGGGTCAAAAAATAGACGTCTACACCAGAAAAACAGAAGATGCTCAAACAATGATAGACCTGCTATTTACAAATAGTAACAATATTTCTTGCAAAAGAATGGCAATGCGTCTGATCTCTGATCATGAAACAATATATTTTAAAGTAAACATAGAAACACCTTCAAAATGAGAATGAAAAAAGCTATAGTATCGTGGGAAAATTATTCTAGTGAAAATCTAGTTCACATTTTAAGGCAGTACAAATATAGTGAATTTTCTAGGTTGAATGTCGATGAAAATGCCAAATTCTTAACAGATATTTTGTCTCATGCAATGAGTTCTCTAACGTGTACGAAGGAAATAAGTGTTAAGCTCATGAACAAATAGTATGATAGTGAGTTATCATACCTTAATAAATATAAGTACAATCTTTATAATATTGCTTTATAAACAGGGAATTGGAACGACTACAATGGTATTAAGTATAAATATAAACGCTTGGTGAAAGTCAAAAAGGTCAAATACATGGAGCGTAAGATAACCACTAACATTGGAGATAGTAAGGAAATGTGGTAACATCTTAAAAATTGCATAAGTATGTTAAAGGAAGCAAATACCATAAATAAAGTTGTACTACATAACAATGTTTACACAACCGAAAATGATATTGCACAAGCATTAAATGACTACTTTGTAGACGGTATCACAGAGATCCTTCAAATATTGAAATTATCGACAAAGCATTTTCTATACTTCCGAATTTCGCATATTATTTTAAATTTCAAGAAAGTGAAGTAATTAAAATTGCTGGTTCTTTCAAAAATAGAATTGGAATTGAATTGAATTTATCTAAATGAGTCATAAGAGATGCAGTAACTTATTTAGGACACTTCTACGTGCAGATAGTCAACGACAGCTTAAAGAAAGGTGCTTTTCCAACTTCTTGGAAAACATCAACTGTCGTTCCAAGAGAAAAGGTTAAAAATACCATTAAAGCTGATGAGATGGGACCAATAAACACACTACAAAATGATGAAAAAATACTTGAATGTGTAGTAAAAAAACCAATTAGTACAATACCTCGAATCTAATGACATATTAATACCACAACAGTCTGGATTTCGCAAGAAGCACTCATGTTAAACTGCCTTGAATTTGGTAATTACTCACTGGAAAGAAGAACTGAGCAAAAACAAACACATAATTACTGTTTTCTTAGATTTGAAACGTGCCTTCGAGGCAATAGATCAAAACCTACTATTGAGATAGTTGTCCAATATAGGAAAGGGTATCGAACTGAATTGGTTTGAAAGTTTTATAAAGAATCGTATGCAAAAAACAGCGATTGGATCATCGGTATCAGACGAAAGAAAAGTAATGATTGGGCTATTACAAGGTTCAGTGTTAGCACCTATTTTAGTTAATATTTATATTAATGATATTTCACACAGCATTAAATATAGTGATATCAATATCTTTGCCGATGATACATTAATAACGACAAGTGGGGAAAATGTAAATGATATTGTGTCAAAGCTTCAAAACTACCTGGATGAAATATATATGCTTAAATAAACTCAAATTAAACATGAACAAAACCAAATTTATGGTTATATCTAGAAGAGGTCTAAATAATAATGATTTAATGATATAATTAAATATAAACCAGAAAACATTAGACAGAGTGCAATGCCTTAAATATTTGGGTATAAAAATCGACGAAAAGTTGAACTTTAATGATCATTATACTGTCAGCAAAGTAGCAACGAAGTTATACTTCATGCGACGCACGTGTAAATTCTTGAAGAGAAAGTATAAAATAATGGTATACAGAGCTATAATAGAACCCCTACTAAATTATTGCTCAACTATATTATTCATAATTTATGAAAGCCCGATTTATAAATTGCAAAAGCAACATAACCGAGCAATGAGATTTATGCTTAGAAAACGTTATGACACCCCAAACAGAGATATGTTGACGGCCCTAAATTGGTTATGTGTTAAGCAACAACACTTCTATTACACTGTGAAATTCGTTAAAAACATTATAGATGGTAACCTGCCAGAATATTTAAAAGGTAGAATAAAGTATGGCAATGATGTACATAACAAAAACACCCGTAAAAACGACTTTAACTTACCCATGTTTAAATGTGACTCTTATAAGAGTAATCTCTATTATAAGAGTCTAAAATGAATTACCTAATAGTATTACCCAATGTAAAAACATAACTGAGTTTAAAAGAAAATTATTTGCATACTGTAAAACTGTTTCAATATAACTAATGTGTTCTATCTCTATCCTCGCTAAGATCCTTATGCCATTTACTTTTGTCAGTGAAATTTTAAATGTATGTATATAAATGAATTCCCTTACAAATAGACCTATTAGGCTTAAGTATTGCATTTTTAATATTAGGTTTTGGATCCGTCATTTTGAATTTTGAAAAACTGACTTCAGATTCCTAATAAGCAACCCCAGGAAACCCCTGGTAACAAGTTCTAACCCATGACAACGCGTAAATCGTTCAGTATCAACGTTTTAATTTTACTAGTCTCTTTTCGAGAGCATATTTTAGGGCACTAGGCCCATTCTAACTACCTAAGACAGGTATGTTATTAAGAGAATGTTCCCCAATAATACCAGAGTAATTATATGCAAAAACCACCTCTTTACCTGCACTTTATTATGTCAAGAAAATAAAAAAAANAAAAAGTAGTTGGAAATAAATTGCTTTGAAACAAATGTAGCATGCGATCGCCGACCTTTTAATTAATTTTATTTCATTTCGGCCACCGATTTTGAAGTTCTTTAAGCCAAATGCATTTAAAGGTAGTTGAAATCACATGTAGGGTGAGAGAATGGACTTAATCCTAGGACATCGTCGTGCTAATAAAGTCAGTTGCTTTCAGAAAAAAAAACAAGAGTTTCAACCACTTGTAGTTTATAAAAAGTGCAAATGAAATGCTTTTAAAGTACTAAATCATCCAAAGTTGAAAATCTTTAAAATTTACCAGTTGAAAAAGTGTTTGGAAATAAATTACTTTGAAAGAAATGCAACAGAGGAATGTCCGGCTCTTCAATTCCTTTTTATTATGTTTCACCTGTGTGTAATGAAAGCTTACAATACATTTTTAACCGACTTTCCGATGATCTAGAAACTTCAAACTTAAAGGCTAGTATGCAGCTCTCAAGAAAAGCAAAAACTCCATTTAAAATGACGTACAAGAAATAGCTAAGAAATTTTCTTGAGTCAAATATCCTTAAGGTAGTACGCAGATCTTAAGAAATTTCCTACGCTTTCTACTATGGTTTTCTAAAGGTTTGTGAAAAAGGAGCACAAGGCAACCCAGGTTTGCAACAGAAATATATGCCCGTTCCATTATTTCTTGAGGAAACAGTGAGGCTCAGATGTCAAAATATCTTGGACACACACACGAAATAATGGCAATTTTTTCTTGACCGTTTTCTTTAGAGCTGCATACCAGGGTTGTTGCGAATATTCGCTTTCGCATTCGCAACCGCGGAGCTTCCGCATTAATTTTAACATTCTCTGTGCTTTAAATACCTGCTTAGGCTTCTTTCTTTATTATGATTTTTTTGGACCAATCTTAAAAAAACTACTAGACACAAAAGAAGAAAGTGTGCACTGTAATTCTTAACAAAATTTTCGTGATTTACTTTTGATGTTATAGGCGGTATACACGGTGCGTCCGCTTTTTTAGAATTTTGATTGGTAATAGCAAAAATATGGTTAATTGTGCTTTAAAAAAATCTCGGTGAAATTTTGAATTTTTCGGTCAATATCCTAGGCTTGCCCAAGTCCATCGAAGTTCAATATGGTTAAAAAAATTAAAATTAATAAATAAATTAAGTAATAAGTTTTTGACTAAAATTGCAATAATCTTCAAAAGTATTAGTCCTACAAAATTTGGTATATGGACCTTTTTTTTGTAGAGAATCGAAGTTAGCTTAGAAAAAAATTTCTTTAGTACTTGAACTTTGATGGACTTGTACGAGCCTAGGATATTGACCAAAAATTATTATCTTTCACACAATTTGTTTTTAGAGCATAATGAACCATATTTTTGCTATTACCAATCAAAATTCTAAAAAACGGATTTTCAGCCCACGCTAATATACATGTATAAATAATTTACATATGTAAATACAATTACCATATATACGAATGTAATTTACGAGTATAACTGACAAAAAAGAAATAAAAAGGAGCTCAAATTTTAAAGCAGAATCCAATATTTGGTTTTATTTGAGAAGTTTTAACTTTAAGAAGAAATAATTAAACAAACAAAAGAATCAACTATTACAAAACAATATAGTTATTACAAAACAACTTCACTTTGTGAAAACACTTAGATATAAATGTTTTGTTTGAGATCATTTGTTCTGATTTTTATCCTTCAGACAGCAAAATTATTTTGCTTACAAGAAAAAAGATAGAAAACCAACTACTTGTAAATAAAAAAATTAGGTGCTTATTAAATTGAAAAAGTAGTTGATTTTCCGACAGGGAAAGCATTTTTAATTTGCTTTTCAAGTGTATGTATGCACATATCTGTGGGCATTAGACAAAACAACTTAAGTATATTTTTCACGGACAAAGAAAAGAGCATTTTTCGGCAAAGCTCTTTTTATCGCCAGAGCAATCATTTATAATATTGCTTTATAAACAGGGAATTGGAACGACTACAATGGTATTAAGTATAAATATAAACGCTTGGTGAAAGTATAAAAGGTCAAATACATGGAGCGTAAGATAACCACTAACATTGGAGATAGTAAGGAAATGTGGAAACATCTTAAAAATTGCATAAGTATGTCAAAGGAAGCAAATACCATAAATAAAGTTGTAATACATAACAATGTTTACACAACCGAAAATGATATTGCACAAGCATTAAATGACTACTTAGTAGACGGTATCACAGAGATGTCTTCAAATATTGAAATTATCGATAAAGAATTTTCTATACTTCCGAATTTCGCATATAATTTTAAATTTCAAGAAAGTGAAGTAATTAAAATTGCTGGTTCTTTCAAAAATAGAATTGGAGGAAAAAAACTTTTATCTGAATGAGTCATAAGAGATTCAGTAACTTATTTAGGACTCTTCTACGTGCAGATAGTCAACGACAGCTTAAAGAAAGGTGCTTTTCCAACGTCTTGGAAAACATCAACTGTCGTTATTTTACTGAGTATCACATTTCAAACAATAGATGTATAATTACGTTGCAAACCTTAAAAAAATGTAACCCAAAGCACGTCCTAAGTTAATCCCTTTCATTTGGCATCTCATTTAAAAATCGAAAGAACGGTGTAAATCTGTTGCTCTGCACAAAAAAAAATGACTGGAACAGGTGGCAATCCTTTTCAAAAAAATTAAGACATTTTTGCTTGCAGATCTATAGACCAAGCCCTTTTATATGGCACATCATATCATTTTATAAAATTGCGCGAACGGTGTAAGTCTTATGATTTTTTAAGCAAGTGGCAACCCTATTCAAAGAAATGAAACCGTCTTGCACATCTAGAGGCCCAGTCCTTTCATCTGATACCTCATTTTTTTTAATACAACGAACCGTGCATGTTTAATAATTATAAAAGCGTGGCAACCCTTTTCAAAAAAGTCAAACCTTGTTTAGAGGCCAAAACCTTTAATTTTGAACCTCAGTTTTGAAAATCGAATAATCGGTGCAGATCTGACGCCGTTAACAAAAAATGTCTTGATGTATTTTATGTATACAAATTTCCAGACCCTACGCCTAATTTTATTCGTTTGTATGAAAAATATTATTGCCTATTATTATAAATATTTTAAAGGTCATTTAGAGGTCGCGACCTGTCGATTTAGGTAAAAAATACGATTTTGTAGTTTTATGAGTTTTTGATTGACTAATTTTAATTCGATTTCAAAGATCGAATATAATCGGATAAATGGTATATAATAATCTATTGTTGGACTTGGCTTGTTGAGATCTTTTATCGGGTAAAATAAAAAAAGCATATTTCTCTTAATTTTTTAAATTTTGACCATCGATAATTTCCATAATTTCAAAATATGTAGTACTGTCTAAAATTAAATCTATTTTTAAATAAACTGATAGCTCACTTATTGCGATCGCAAAAAATTTTCGAAGTTAGGCGACTTTTCTTAAATACAGTCTTGAATTTATATTGTGTATGTGCCGGACTTTCAGATTTTTTGCGCAGTGTGGCTAAGGAATTCATCAATATTCATTCAAAATTGATATATATAAATATATATATAAATATGTAAATATATATATAAATATATATATATATATATATATATAAATAGTATAGTTTCATCCGATTTCAAAAATATTCAAGGCAGAACTTAAGGAGGCTAAGCACAATTTGAATACCAAATTTGGTCGAGATCGGTCAATAAGTTTTTGAGATACAAATATATCATGGTGGTGCCACTCCCATTTTCCTAAAATTTTTGATAAAACCGCTTTTTTGCTAAAGAGCAATTGTACATATAAATTTTGAATTATTTTACCCGATAAAAAATTCCATAAAACCAAGTGGGACAATAGATTATGATTTACCATTGTAAAGGCCTATATATCATATTCTCAGATTATATTTGATCTTTGAAATCAAATCAAAAATTGTCATTCAAAAACTCATAAATATACAAAATCGTATTTTATGACCTAAATCAATATATGCAATAATATTTCTCATAAAAACGAATAAAATTAGGGGGTAGGGTCTCTAAATTTCGAAAAAAAGCATTTCCGACGGACATCCTAATACATATTTACATTAGACTGCATCAACAAAAAAAAGTTGCGGGTTTTCCGCCGGGATTACAAAACCTATTATATTTTAAGATGTCCACCAAAATATTTCGGAAAAATATTAAGCTTTAAGCGAGCTGGACCGATTTGAAAATACCTCCAAAAATGGAGTTTTTTATGAATAAAAATAAGTTTTTTAAGAACTTTTTGAAAAAAGTCTCCTCAGATGACAAAACAGATTAGTCTTAAAAAATCTGTATAAAAATATTTAAATATATTTTCAGCGGAATCGTAATAATGAAATTTTTGATGCTGTTTTTACTTTTTTCAAAGATTGATTTACGAAAAACTTAAATAACTGGGCCAAAACTATTCTGTTTTAGACTTATTGGATCTTCGTAGAAAGGTATTTTCCCAATATTTTTATTTACGCGGAAAAAAAGTCATTCGTGTCCCAAATTTTGTTTTTTCAAATACCAACCCATCTTAACTAAACTTTGAGTGATGTTCGTTCATCCTACCGTTCTCTTTCATCCTTTGAATGAGCTTATTAGCACAGAAATAGAAAGGGTGAGAAAATACCTTAGGTTCAGTTATTCAAGGTTTTCTTATACCAATCTTTGAAAAAAGTTAAAAAACAGCATCAACAGCGGTTCATAAAAACACTCTTCTTGGAAATTCATAAACGCTAAATCAGAATATTGTTATTTTTGAATTTTGAAAATCTGACAACAGATTCGTAATCAGCAGCCCCAGAAACCCACTGGAAACGAGTTTCAACCCTTGACAATGCTTACAACGTTCAGTATCAACGTTTTAATTTTAGTAATTTTTTTTTTAATTTGATCGCCATAGGCTGTCATTACCAACGGGAACGAAAGTAAATGAAACAGATGTATAATATTTCACTAATTGTTATTCGAAACGTTTTGCATAAATAATTGTGATAGCAAAAACAATAAGTAAAAGCTTATTTGCCAGAAGTGAAGTGGTGCAGTTGCGACATCAAATAAGGTGTATTCTAGCAAACAAACCTCCAGGCTGAATTGTCGCTGCCACTGTGGAAGCTTGGACACCTCCGCAAAAGAGCACTTGAGCCGCCAAATCCATAGTACAGGATTAACCTCCATGAACGAAAGACACAAGATCTCGCGGGAAGGAAAGAACGAAAAAAGTTATTTTCTAGCTGCCGAAATCTCGACGCCATCTTTGTTGTAGGAAGCAAACAACGAAGAGAACGGAGAAAACCGCGAAATTGTTGAACGCACGAAAAATCATTATTATTATGCAAATTCTTCTAAAAATCATGCCGTTGTGTTAAATTATTCTTTATCTTATGTGTACACACGTTGTCACAAGCGAAAATGAAGAAAATTGCAGTAAAAAGCCACAACGAAGAAGTGTAAACAAACGGCTAATGTCAAAATCGTTAAACTTTTTTCCTTAATGCGATTCTAACGGGCTACTCTCCTGCCCGCGTGATCTTGTCTTTTTGGTTCATGATTAACCTCCATAGCTGCTCTGTTATTGTTTTTCCTTTTTGTGCTTCTATCCTATGCCAGACTATTTGCACTTGATTCCCCTATGCAAATCATCTGACGTAAATAACTGGAACTGAAACAGCTGATCGGCTGAAGCAGCTGCCACCACTTCTGTATTTATAGCTAGCCTACAGTAGCAATTTCTCATAGCAGAAAGTTTTGTATTTTTTATTAAAAAGTTATTTACTATAATTAGTGTATATACGTGCAATACGTTGAGTGTGGGCATATTGCCGCAGTCATAGTGGCGAAATGCCGACGGTAGAATGCAAGGAATGTACTGTTATATTGCTTCAATTAGATGATATAATAACATGCTCTGGTGGGTGGGGCTATAATTTTTGTTTAAAATGCAGCAACATCAAACGAAACGAAATTAAAATCATGATAAAAACATTACAAGGTAAATTCATTCTCTCATTTCGTCGGCCATGATTTTTTTCTGACGTTTGCCAACATTTTAAAATCATATAAAATTGAAAATAAAAAAATTAAATTGTACACAATTGTTCTTGTTTGAGATTGAAAATGAGAATGTGTGTGTGAGTTTGAGTTTTGATTTTAAAATTATTATGTTGGCAAACGGCAGACTGCCTCTCAATGGTTTTACCTTGTTATGTTTTTATCATGATTAAAATTATATCTGAAAACATTAGTTTGAAATGGTTCTCCAACCAATGCACGTTATCAGATACAAACACAAAATTTATTGAGATTAAGCACTTGATTAATAAATGTGAACAATCGAACCTGAAGGCTTCAGATGTGAAGCTGATTGTTGAGCAGTTAATCAGCAACAAATGTTCTCAAATAAAAACAAGCATTGTTTCTGATTTTAACACGTTCTTGGAACATAACATTGGAGTTAAAATTAATGCTATGAAAAATGATATTATAAATGAGATTTCTAGTGAACTCAAAAAATGTGGTGAAAACGTACAAAATATGCGGCCAAATGATAGTAATAGTGATGTTCAAATGACTTATGCAAGGCAGCCAAAATAAATGAAAATAAATTTGTCATCAAACCAATAAACAAAAACAAAAAAGTAAGGGAAACCAAGGAANACTTATGCAAGGCAGCCAAAATAAATGAAAATAAAATTGTCATCAAACCAATAAACAAAAACAAAAAAGTAAGGGAAACCAAGGAAGCACTAAAAAAAGTAATTGAACCTACCGCTGGCCTTGTTAAGACTGTAAAAGAAATTAATAGAGGAGGTATAATTCTGGAGTGCAAAAATAAAGACACATGTGAGCAAGTGAATCAAAAATCAAAGGAAACTATAGGAACTGAATAAGAAGCTGAAAGAACTAATGGAAAAAATGAAATAAACAAGATTTTCAAAGTAGTTGGGCTAACTGAAAAAATAGGTAACGACCGTTTTATTGAATGTTTAACGAAGCAAAATGATGAATGTTTAGGGAAAGAGTTTAAAATATTAAAAGTCTACGAAAATAGAACACGTAGAGAAGAAAGTTTTAATATTCTAGTAGAAACAGACGCATTAACCTGTGAAAATGTTCTTAAGCGAAAAAGGTTAAACATTCAATGGGACACTTGCATGGTATTCGGACATATTAATGTTATGAGATGTTTTAAATGCCTGGGTTACAAGCATAAATCGAGCGAATGCACTAATAAAAAAGCATGTAGTAAATGCGCGGGTAACCATGATGTGAAGGATTGCAATTCTGAGATCATACGGTGCGTAAACTGCTGTGAACTGGTACAGAAAAAGGTGATTGACGGAAGTGTCAACCATTATGCATTTAGCTTGGACTGTCCAGCATTTAAAAAATATGCCCATGCAAAAAATAAAACCAGAGTCTAGCAACGAACGTTAGATGAACTGAGTAGTATTTATTTAAATATAAACAGTATTACAGCAAATAAGGGTGAATTGGAAAGAGTAATCTAAACTTGTGTGCCACATCTAATATTGCTGTCAGAGACTTGTGTAACTGAAGATATAGCAAACCAAGAATTACAAATAGATACATACAATATTGTTAGATGCAATTCGCATAGCAGACATACAGGCGGGGTTTTAATATACCTAAGCAATTTAGAATGCAAGGAATGTACTGTTATATTGCTTCAATTAGATGATATAATAACATGCTCTGGTGGGTGGGGCTATAATTTTTGTTTAAAATGCAGCAACATCAAACGAAACGAAATTAAAATCATGATAAAAACATTACAAGGTAAATTCATTCTCTCATTTCGTCGGCCATGATTTTTTTCTGACGTTTGCCAACATTTTAAAATCATATAAAATTGAAAATAAAAAAATTAAATTGTTCACAATTGTTCTTGTTTGAGATTGAAAATGAGAATGTGTGTGTGAGTTTGAGTTTTGATTTTAAAATTATTATGTTGGCAAACGGCAGACTGCCTCTCAATGGTTTTACCTTGTTATGTTTTTATCATGATTAAAATTATATCTGAAAACATTAGTTTGAAATGGTTCTCCAACCAATGCACGTTATCAGATACAAACACAAAATTTATTGAGATTAAGCACTTGATTAATAAATGTGAACAATCGAACCTGAAGGCTTCAGATGTGAAGCTGATTGTTGAGCAGTTAATCAGCAACAAATGTTCTCAAATAAAAACAAGCATTGTTTCTGATTTTAACACGTTCTTGGAACATAACATTGGAGTTAAAATTAATGCTATGAAAAATGATATTATAAATGAGATTTCTAGTGAACTCAAAAAATGTGGTGAAAACGTACAAAATATGCGGCCAAATGATAGTAATAGTGTGTTCAAATGACTTATGCAAGGCAGCCAAAATAAATGAAAATAAATTTGTCATCAAACCAATAAACAAAAACAAAAAAGTAAGGGAAACCAAGGAAGCACTAAAAAAAGTAATTGAACCTACCGCTGGCCTTGTTAAGACTGTAAAAGAAATTAATAGAGGAGGTATAATTCTGGAGTGCAAAAATAAAGACACATGTGAGCAAGTGAATCAAAAATCAAAGGAAACTATAGGAACTGAATAAGAAGCTGAAAGAACTAATGGAAAAAATGAAATAAACAAGATTTTCAAAGTAGTTGGGCTAACTGAAAAAATAGGTAACGACCGTTTTATTGAATGTTTAACGAAGCAAAATGATGAATGTTTAGGGAAAGAGTTTAAAATATTAAAAGTCTACGAAAATAGAACACGTAGAGAAGAAAGTTTTAATATTCTAGTAGAAACAGACGCATTAACCTGTGAAAATGTTCTTAAGCGAAAAAGGTTAAACATTCAATGGGACACTTGCATGGTATTCGGACATATTAATGTTATGAGATGTTTTAAATGCCTGGGTTACAAGCATAAATCGAGCGAATGCACTAATAAAA